AACTAATTCTGTCCACTTCAATCATTTAGTTCATATTTCAGTTTGAAACTGCATCCTGTTGGCTTCAGCTCACAACTTTTATTCTTTATTCAGATTGAATATCAGCAAGTTGTCAGAGATCAGCTGTTCTTCTCTGGCCTCAGCTCTGAAGTCCAACCCCTCCCATCTGACAGAACTGGACCTGTGTTACAAGTTCCCGTGTGACTATGGAGTGAAGGAGCTCTGTGGTTTCCTGGAGAGTCCAAATTGTAGACTGGAGTTTCTGAGGTCAGTTCACTGTAGCTGTTGGAGGTTTTCTATTTGAGCACAATGCCAAAGTTAGCAGAGCTGCTTCCTCTCAGTGAGCAGGTTGCCCTGGTTCAAATCGAGGTCCAGGGGCCTCTCTGGGTGGAATTTGCATGTTCTCTCCATCTGTGTGGTTTTTCTCCAGGTACTCCTGTTTCCTCCCACAGACCTAAAACATGCATGTTAGACTGATTGGTAACTCTAAAATTTATCTAGGTGTGAGTGAGAGAGTGAATGGTTGTTTATCTGTGTGACCCTGTGATGGACTGAAGACCTGTCCAGGGTGTCAGACGCCTCTCACACAGTGATGGCTGGACATGTGCGCCAGTGACCCAAAAAGGATGAAGCGGGTAAAAGCTAATGGATGGACTTGAATTTTTTTTTTTTTTTTTTACTTAAGTCTATAAAAAAATAAATCTACATGTATTTACTATTTTAATTTAAGACACAAAACTAAAAGCAGCTCATATAAAAAAAATATACTTTATTTAAAGATTAAAATCAAGAAACACCTCCTTTTTGTCCTGATCTAACGTGTGGAGTGGTAGTAGCTGAGAGTCATCCACCAGCCAGACTCTGAGCTCTAACAGACCAGCTGAGATCTCAGAATATCATATGACATGGTTCATAACGTTATTTACAAGGTTTGACCAAAACGCTACAAGTTTCTCATCACAAGATGATCTTAGTGTCAAAGTGTGGGATGAAAGGTGGCGGATGATATGCATTCCTTCCAGGAATGCTAGGCCTTGAATGGATTCAGTTTTTGTGTCTCTGACATCCAGTAAAACTAATTCTGTCCACTTCAATCATTTAGTTCATATTTCAGTTTGAACCTGCATCCTGTTGGCTTCAGCTCACATCTTTTATTCTTTATTCAGATTGGGGGACTGCAAGTTGTCAGAGATCAGCTGTTCTTCTCTGGTCTCAGCTCTGAAGTCCAACCCCTTCCATCTGACAGAACTGGACCTGAGTCACAACCAGCTGTCTGACTCTGGAGTGAAGGAGCTCTGTGGTTTCCTGGAGAGTCCAAACTGTAGACTGGAGGTTCTGAGGTCAGTTACTTCAGCTGTTGGAGGTTTTCTATGTTTGTCCAACTAAAATCATTCCCTGATATTTCATAATTTATTCATTTATAAATGTTTCATTCATTTAACCCTTTGAGGGTCTAAAACCAGCCCCACATTTTAATGTTTTATTTTGTTGCTGTCAATAACCACAGATGTTCCTGACAAAGCCTAAAAATCCTTGTAAAGTCATTTATTTAGTCAGAATAGTTTAAATGCTCCTGTAAGCTCACAGTAACTTTACGGCCCTTTAGTGTTCATCAGGGACAATCAGCCATTTTAAACCGTTGTAAATACAACTTTTCATCATATTTTTGTCTTATCATAAAAACATTCCTATCAGTAATGTTTCTGACCTTCATCTCTGTACTTTTAATTGTTGTATTAGCTGACTTGGTGAAGTTTTCCTTGTTCCATGTGTAAACCTCTGTAAAGATTACCAGGACAGACTTCAACGTACCCTGGAAGTGCTGCGTTGTTCCCAGCTGAATGCTGCTGCAGAGTCTCGGCTCGTCCCACAAAATAGTTTTAGTTGGAGTGTAAAGAGCAAAAAGACACTTTTATTGTGCACAAGTCAACATTTAGTATGAAAAGCTGTTCCACGTGCATGGAGGCTGAAGAATCGTGCGCTCCTCAGCTCAGAACGTCTGACTCCTGTTGGCTTCAGCTCACATCTTTTATTCTTTATTCAGATTGGAGTGCTGCAGGTTGTCAGAGATCAGCTGTTCTTCTCTGGTCTCAGCTCTGAAGTCCAACCCCTCCCATCTGACACAACTGGACTTGAGTAACAACAACCTGCAGGCTCCACATGTTCAGCAGCTGTTGGATCTTGTGGAGAGTCCAGACTAAAAACTGCAGTCTCTGAGGTCAGTAGATGTCCTTTGAAAGTTTTCAATAACAATATTTCTGATGATGTAGGAACAATGATGATGATGATGCTGCATGACTGACTGAAGCTGATGGAGAGAGGCTGCAGACAGTAAGTTAGCTCCTCTCTCACTCTCTCTTCTCTCTGCAGGTGGAGGCGAAGATCTTAGTGGAGGAAAGAAGAGCTGAGTTCTGATGATCCACAGAGGTTGAAGCAGCAGCAGGTTGTTTGATAAGAAACTGATTGGATCCTGATGATGATGAACTTTGATCTTTTTATATTTATATTCATCTTGTGTCATAAACTCTCAGAAATTGGTTTCTCAGAACACACCATTGGTTGGTTCTCTAACTATCTTTCAGACCGGAGGCAATGTGTTCAACATAATGGTACTTCTTCCAATTATTTAACAGTCAACAATGGTGTACCACAAGGCTCAGTCTTAGGACCCACCCTCTTTACAATCTACATACATAATGTAGGTAAAAACATCCCTAATGCATCCATACATTTCTATGCTGACGACACAGTTGTTTATTGTCGAGCTAAAACTGTTGCTAAGGCTTTCCAGCTTTTGAAATCTGCATTTAACAACATCCAGACTGATTTGTTCCGTCTCAAACTTGTCCTAAATGCCGACAAAACCAAAGGGATGCTTTTTTCAAATAGGAAGTTGGTCCCAGCAGTTCTTCCTCCGATTTTATCCTCAAATGATGTCCCCATTAAGTTTGTTGATTCCTATAAATATTTGGATATCTTGGTCGACTCACATCTCTCTTTTAAGCTCCATGTGGAAAACTTGGTAAAGAAACTGAAAGTTAAACTGGGTTTCTTTTTCAGAAACAGATCCTGTCTAACCCTGAATGCTAGAAAACGCCTTGTATCTGTGACTTTCCTTCCCTCCGTCGATTACGGTGATATTATTTACATGAACGCTCCTACAAGAACCCTGCAGATGTTGGATGCTGTCTATCATGGTGCACTAAGATTCATAACTGGCTGTGATTATCGTACCCACCACTGCACCCTGTATTCACTGGTTAACTGGACATCATTAACCTCACACAGACTCTCTCACTGGTACATTTTCATCTTTAAATCACTTCTTGGTCTGCAGCCTTCATACATCTCCTCCTACATGTCTCTGCGTGAGTGCAGCTACAGCGTGCGCTCTCAGGACATTATTACATGCAGTGTTCCCACAGTGAGGACTGAACTAGGCAAAAGGGCCTTCTCCTACTCCGCTCCTGTTATCTCTTATGTTATATCTTACAAAAAGATTTGAAGCTCTCGACCTTGACCTCTCTAAGTGGCTTTAAGAATCTGTTGGACTCCTGGCAGGGACCAATGCAGACATGTTCCTGTTTTTAGTTTTCTACATTCGCCTTAGAATCTAGCTGTTTTTTTGTTTTTTTGTTACCTTTTCCTTTTAGCCATCCTATTTGTAAAAAAAAACAAAAAAAAACTGTATTATGACTTTTTATAATTGTTTATTGTTGTTGCTGTTGTCCATTGTTGTCATCTTTCTTTGTTGAAATCAGGTCTCTCTTGTAAATGAGTCCTCGAGGCTCAATGGGATTTACCTGTCTAAATAAAGGTTGATTGATGACTGCTTCTGTGTTGTATTTACTTTGAACCAATCAAGCTAAAGTCAAGGTTAAAGAAATCATTCAGATTATCTGTAAATGAAGCTAGAATCACTACTTTTACAGAAAGAGCTTTCTATTTTCTTTTCTTCTTTTAAAATAAATTTATAAAAATTTGATCAAGTTCTGTCTCAGTTTCTTTGATCCAAAACAATCTGAGATGAACTTAGAATTTTCTTATGATGATTTCAGTTTTAATGTGGCATGAAAGGTGGCGGGTGATATGCATTCCTCTAACTGGGGGACGTGCTCCGGGTCTTTTATCCTCTCTTTGTTCTCTTCTCTCCTGTAATGTTTGTTCTCAGTAGAAGCGGACCGTCTGTCTTTGCTCCTGCAGAAACACAATCTTCATGTTTTGGCTTGAAACAGAACCTGTTCAGTAAAATCCACTAATCCTCTTCAAAACCAGTTTAAATTAAAGCGTTCCTTATAGAAATGCATATCACCCGCCTCCTTTCAAACCCCAGTTTCACACTAACATCACCCTCAGATTATAGATTATTAACAGCTGATCTGACATGAATATAATAAATCATGAATATATGAGATTATAGCTGTACAGCATTTACATCAATTAGAAATATATAATCAATAATATACACAATAACAGATAATATAACCTAGATATCATCTAATTTATATTATAGATATTTTCATGTGTTTCTATCAGTTATTATGAATCAACATGTGGTTGTTACACTTCTTGTCAGCAGAGGGCGCCACAGGCCTGCGTTAAATAAACAGATTTTATTAGATTAGTTTTATTAGATTAAAATGTTTAGGGCCGGTTTCACAGACGAGATTAAGGCTAGTCCCAGACTACAATGCTGTTTGAACTGGTTTAACTCTAAGACCTGCACAGACTGGTCTTAAAATAGTCACAGATTTAGTCTGTTCTGGATTAAAGCCAGAGAAAAACATGACAAATAAACAGTGTTTTTAGAGCATTTATTAAAATAACAACTTCAATGACATAGGAACCATTAAATTTATTGTTAAGGTATGTTGTTTTGTCCATGTGAACATGTTGGGTGCAATGTGTTGATGGAGCTTAGTGTGTCCATTATTCTTTCAGTCAGTCTGCCGTACGATGACTTGATCCAATTTCAAATTCCCGTTGATCAGCTGCGCAGACATTTGTAGAACTAAATATATGCAGAGCTGTGGGTGATGCTATATAAATATTCTGTGTGGTTTATGATAATTTCTTGAAGATCGAGTCTTCAACATCGTTTTCTTCAAGTCACTTCAATCTAAACAGCTTTATGAAAACTGGTGCAGATCACGTAGGACTATTTAGAGCTGTCATTTCTAACTCGGGCCCGAAGCCCGGCCCCACCCGACCCGAAATCAGGGCGGGCCAGGCCATAATAATGTGCTGGATGGGCAGGCCGGCTTTCTGATTGTGTCAGCGGATCAGCCTCGATCAAATTACTGAATATGGCAACATGGCTTGTCATAAAATCTAAATACGTCAACATGGCTTGCCATAAAATCCAAATATGTCAACATGGCTTGCCATAAAATC